TAAAAATGATAAGTAATGATAAATAAAATACAAAAAATAATCAACAAAATAAAGCACTGTCCATTCTCCCCTTAACAAACGTTCCCTCCTAATGACCTGGAAGGCCAGGTTCACACTTAAGAGTTCTTGGACTCTTTAGACTTCCACACAAGTGCATGGCAACATGGGGAGAACCAACCCCTGCTCCTTGACCCACACTCTTCCTCTGCCTACCAGGTCTGTCTCACACTGTGAGATACAGAGTGTCTTTTGGGTGCATGTGGACACCCAAGCTCCAGCTGTACCTTGCAAACGGCTGCCCTTGGACACCACTCAGACCTATGGGTGCACACTGGTGGGGCAGTGAGATTTGCCCGACAAAGGACAAGCCCAGGAGAAGCTGGGCCACTTGGCAGGAATTCCAGAGTCCCTGTTATCCCAAGTGTGGCTTACAAGTGGGGCTGTGCACAGGCTCTGGGCGGGACTTTCCCAGGGCTTGCAAGGAGCATTGCTGGAGGAGGGCCAGGACAGAGGCCTCTCAGCCTGGGTGGTTACCACCCTCACCCTGCCAGTCTTTCCCATGCAGCAGCCAGAGTGACCTACAAAAAGTTAAGTCACATGGTCTTCTCTGCTCAAAGGTCTCTCAAGGTTCCCATCTCTCTTAGGGTAAAGTCAATGTCCATACATGACCCATAAACCCTGCACGATCTGCCCCAACACAGGCCTCCCCATTCTGACCTCATCCACTCCCATCTCCTTTGCTTGCTCCATCCCAGCCCAGGTCTCTTCACATGTGCCCACCTTGGGGCCTTGGCATTTGCTATTCCATCTGCCTGGAACACTCTCTCCCTGGGTCCCTCCCTCTATTCAGCTCTCAGCCCAGATGCCACATCTCAGAAAACTGGCTTGTTTCTTTGTTTACACTCCACCTCCCCACATAACATCAGTTCCATGGAGGTAGGCCACGCCTGTCCTCATTACTGTGGTATCCTATCTGGTACTGCAATAGCCTGTAGTGGGTGCTCAGTAAGTATCTGTAGAAGGAAGATATGACGTGCTCATTCCAACTGCTGGCAGCCTGCAGGGTAAAAACTGAGAAACCACAAAGGGATATGGGGACAGGCTGGGGACAATAAGTACCACTATAACCATCAGGCTACCTCACAGGTGCCTGCAGGACCAAGCCTACAGGGCGCAACCCCTAAGGCCTCACTCCACAAATAGGCTGGACCACCACACTCCTTGTCAAGGCTCTCAGCCAGAGCTCCAACTCTGTGTCTCTCTCATACACACCCATTCACATGCATGCACACACAATGGACATGTTCTCACAGTCACTCACCCAGGCACCCACCATGTCACACAATCACACCTATAAGCACAATCACAGTCACTGTGACAACATAACACATAGTCTGGGATGGCCATACTATGTCAGGCCCTCCCCATCTCCTCCATGTCTCTCTCTCTCTCACAGACACCATCGCACATGATGACAGTCTACAGATCAACCCACAGGTCACGTACACACAATTAGACACACAGAATCACCCATATACGTGGTCAAAAAGAATGGCAAACCCACCTTGCTGGACCTCCAGGTCACACACAGTCAGATATACAATACACAGCCCCCACACTAGCACCCTTACGCCTCACACCAGCACTCACACCCATCACACCAGTACCTGTTAGGGGACCCTAGAGGCAGAGGACACATAATTAATTAGTACTCCACCAGTTATCAAGCCACTCCCAGTCACCTCCCCACCACATCACTCACTTCCTCTAAGTTTTTTCCAGACTCTGGAGAGCCCCAGACGGGTCCAGATATAACCAGCTCAGAATGCTCACACATGCGCAGAACAGACAAAGATGACCCCGGGCCGCCATGCATGCACAATAACACAAGAGAACTCATGCCAAGGAACGAAAAGACTCATGTCAAAGAACCAAAATCACCAGACATACGACATACGCAGTAGCCCAGCCCATTTCAAAAGCGAAGAGTCCGTCCGCGGCTTCCAGGCCAAGTCTTAGCCCCGCCCCGTAATAAATAATCAATAGAAACTATGAATATGTAGAACTTCCTGATCCTGCCCACCTGTCTTCCTCCATCTCTATATGAATATGTGTAATTCCTCAAACCTAAAAAATGTAAATGCTTCCTCAAATCGAGGAACTCAGTCTGAGGTTGATATCTCTGAGTTCCTGCTTGCTAGCCTGCTAAATAAACTGTTTCTTCCTCTCAAAACCAGCATCTGAGAGATTGGCTCCTTGCACGCTGGGCACGGATCTCTTGGTCTGGTTTCAATTTTGGCGACCCAGATAGGACCTTAAACAGTTCTATCCACTGCCGAGTGTCCTTGGAGCCCCGCTGGCTGTGGCCCGACTTGCTGGTGCCCTCAGCGCACGCCTCGATCTCTTTTAATTTAGAGGACACGGGTAAGTTTGAACCCAGTGGGCAACGCTGCCGGTTACGGTGCAAACCTAACTTTGAGAGGACGGAACAGATCTGGTTTGGTCTGGAGGTGCTGGACGGGTAAGCCTGTTCCCCGGATATGGTCAGGAGGGGACTGGGAGGTTGAAATGGAGACTGCTAAGAAACCCCTGGGGTAAGTTCTGCTCCAGGGCTTGCGATCTGAGGGGTTGAAGTGGCCCGCCTAGACACCTCTGCCATTAATTCTCGTTAACTGTGGGGTCCTGAGACTCTGTCCTCTGGTCTGGTGTGAGCTCACTCTGTCTATCTCTGCGTGTGTGTGTCTGGAAAATGAGGAACGTTCAAGAGATCCTAAGATGTAGCCCACTAAGATGTATCTTTAAGAACTGGCAATATTTCGGGTGAGACCCTATGAAAAAAAAGATGATTTTTTTTGTAACACCGCATGGCCTCAGTATGAATTGGCAGATGAAGAAAAGTAGCCAGCAAATCTGTCTCTGAATTTTACTATCCTCCAACTTGATCTTTTCTGTACTCGGGAGGGTAAATGAGATAAAAAGTACTATGTGAAAGCTTTCATGACTGTATCAAAACAAAGAGTCACAGAAAAAAGTAAAATCTTATTCAGAAAGGGACTGATAAATCACAATTGCCAGTCCTCTCTCCCAACCCTGAGGAGGATCTTCCATCTCCCGTCACTTCAGCACCTGCGCCACCCCCTCCCAATGCCCTGCCTCCACCCAACGGAGCCACACTGCCAGTGACAGTCCCCACTGTTAAGCCCCCTCAACCTTTGTATCTACCCAGAGAGAGTTAGGAGGTGGTTGAGTAGTCATGGGGAATCAGGGGCGGAAAGGAGGAGTGTGCTGTCACAGAATGGGGTGAGCAATTAGGGTCTCATAACATTGTATGTATGAAAATTTTGTATGGGAGACTAACTTGAAATGTAAACTTCATTTAATTACAGCAATAAAAAAATAAAATAAAATAAAAATAAATAAATAAAAGCACCAGGCAGCCTTCCTAGCTGCCACCTTGCAGGCTGAAGGCCATCCCCCAAGAAAACAAAGAAAAGGAAGGAGACCAAGGCCACAGGAGCAGAGAAGCCTTCACACCCCTTTGAAAAGAGACCAGTGCAGCTAGTGTAGGAAAAAAAAAGCTACCCAGATGAGGTGGACAGTGTCCACTGTCAGAGCATCCAAAAGAAAAAAAAAAAAAGCACCCTCCTTTCCTACAACCTCTAATTTGTTGTATACAAGAAAAATCTTTAACACACTCTTTCCATTACAAAAACAGGTGACAGTTACAAATGACCCTTACTACCAGGCCATTAACTTAACTATGAAAAAAAAGAACGTTACTGAGGGTTAGTTGATCTAGATATCAGAGATACAGTAGTGCCATAGGTGTGTGGCGCTGGGGCTGTCTGAGAGGTTGAGGCAGCCAAGATCACCTCCATCACCTGGCTGGCTGGCTGGGAGGTTGAGGCTGCCAAGATTATCTCCGTTGCCTCAGGTCCTAGTCTGGTCTCTGTGTGGATGTATGTGTAGCACTGGTGCGAAAAAAGCTTTAAGTGAGTGTAAACATGATGCATATGTGTACGTGTTGTATAGAGAATGCAAGGCGCACCGTCGATCCCCAAGCGTTCACCACTGGGTTGTATTTTAAAGAACTGGAAACAGTTCAGCTATGGGGATATGAAAAAGGAAGTCACGATCAAGTACTGTAATCGGGATTGGGTACAATATTCCCAGGGCTTGATTGAGAAATGGCCGACTTCAGGTTCTTTATCTCATGATACCATCTTGCAGTTAATGTTGTTCTGCAAAAGAGAGAAGAAATGGGACAAAATCCCTTATATGTAGGCCTTCATGGTATTATATCAAAACAGAAATTTACAGAAACAATGTAAATTAATGGTTCAGAGGGCAGAAAAGCTACGAGACCAGAAAGACAAAGAGGAAGAGATTTTAGAAGAAAGTGAGCCTTGGGAACCTCTCCCTTTCCCAACAGCACGCCTCCACCCTTATGTGCCGGGGGCAGTGGCTACCACCCCCTCGGCCACGACTCCGAGACCCAGCAAGGGTCAGAAACCAGAAAGAGGCTAAGAAAACAGCAGAAACCTTATATCCCCGATTAGAGGAAGTGGCCTCTCCTTCTCACACCCGCAGTGGTGTTCAATCCGGCCAGGGGCCTCACTCTTCTGATACAGGGCAAGGGAAGTTTCCTCTTCACCAGGTTCTAGCAGGAATCGACGATCAAGGGGTGCCTCGTAGCTTTGTGTGGGTACACACTCCTTTCACTTCTACTGACTTAACTGGAAGAGATCAATGTCCAGTTACCGAGAAGACCCCAGCCAGATGGTAGAGTTCTTTCAGAGTAACTTTGATAGTCATCAACCAACATGGGCAGATGTACAAGCCCTCCTCTGAGGCCTGCTGATTCAGGAGGAAAGAAGGATGGTTTTAGACATGGTTAGACAGGAGGCAGAAACGCTTCATGAGGCAGGGGCAAATCCGGCTAGACAACCAGTAGATGTGGCTGTGCCCCTTGAAGACCCTAAGTGGGATCAAAACCAGGCGAATGATATGGTTTTCTTGCAACATTATCAAGAACGTATTCTAGAAGGGCTTTGGTGGGGAGCAACCAAACTAAAAACCTTAACAAAATTCAAGAGGTCACCAAAAGCCAGATGAGAATCCCTCTGCCTTCCTTGAGTGGGTCTTAGAAGCTTATAGAAAACATGCTGATGTGAATCCTGATGATCCTACTTTCCAGAAGGTTATAAACCTGAGTTTTATCTCTCAGAGTGCACCTAATATAAGGCACAAGCTACAGAAATTAGAGAATGGGCTAAATATGACCACCTCATAATTAGCAGAGGTGGCCTTTAAAGTCTACAACAACTGAGACCAAGAACAGGAGAAGAAGAAGCACCGGGAAATGAAGCAATAAGTGAGCCTGCTAGCTTTTCCCTGGGCAGGCCGAGGGGTCCCCCGGCACACAGAAAGACCAGATCTTCAAGATGCTCTGCTTGCTAACCTGGACCTTGAAGTTATTTCAGATGGCAGCAGCTTCATGGATCAAGGGACGCAATGGGCTGGATATGCTCTAGTGTCCCTTCATGAGACCTTAGAGTTAGGAGCCCTTCCTCCCAGAACTTCAGCCTAGAAGGCCGAACTGATCGCACTGACCAGAGCATTAGAATTGGGAAGAGGTAAAAGAACATTTACATGGATTTGAGGTACACTTTTTCTATTGTGCACGCACATGGGGCCAAGTGGAAAGAGAGGGGATTACTAACATCAGCCAGTAAAGAAGTTAAATATGGGACTGAAATTTTAAAGTTGCTACAGGCAGTCCTCCTCCCCACCAAGGTGGCTGTTATACACTGTCCAGGCCATCAAGCCGGGGATAACACCTTAGCCAAAGGGAATTGCCTGGCTGATCAGGCAGCTAAGGAAGCTGGAAAAGCCAAAACCCCAGCACGGGTTTTGGCCCTCTTGCCTGATATAGACCTACAGGCCTTTGCTCCAGGATATTCACAACAAGATAAAGAAAAAGGAGGACAATGGGGTTTCTCAGAAGATAAAAAATGGATAGATGTATAATGACAATGGACAAATATTAGTACCAGCACATCTTATGTATGATGTAGTACAAGCTGTCCACCTCACCACCCATTATGGAAGGGATGCCCTGGCCACCAGGCTACAAAAGCTGATTGTGGGGACTGACTTATATAAAAATGTTCAACTTGTCACCCAGCAATGCATGCACTGTGCTAAAAATAATCCCAAGACAGGACCGCCCCCACCTATAGTAGGAGTGCAAGCCAGAAGTATGACACCCCAGGAAGATTGGCAGATAGACTTCACCGTCATGTCACCAACAACTGCAGAGATTAAATTCTTACTTGTTTTTGTAGATATTTTCACTAACCTGATAGAGGCATTGCCTTGCAGAACGGAGAAGCCGGCTGAAGTAAGAAAAGCCTTACTGAGAGAAATCATCCTAAGGTTTGGTTTACCTGGCTCCCTTCAGAGAGACAATGGAGGAACCTTTGTGGACCAAGTGGTTCAACAGGTTTCAGGACTTCTAGGAATTAAATGGAGGGTGCATGCCTCCTGGAGGCCATAAATGTCGGGTAAGACTGAAAAGATGAATCATACCTTAAAGAATATAATGGCCAAAATCTGTCAGGAAACCAACTTTACGTGGCTTCAGGTTCTTCCTGTTGCCCTTCTCAGAATTAGGGCAGCCCCTAGAAGCAGACTCCAATTGAGTCCGCATGAAATATTATATGGGAGACCCTTCCTCAAACAGTGGGTCCCTGGGCATTGGAGTCCGGCAGACTTGCCTGTGACCAGGAAACTGGATAAAGTCAAGTATGTACAAACTGTTTCTGTAACTTTAAAGGCTATTAACCATTATGCAGCCAGCAGACTAATGCTTCCCACAGATATCCCACTCCAAAACCTGAGCCCAGGAGACTGGGCACTGCTCAAGAACTGGAACGACCAGACTCCCAGCCAACAACCAGGGGCTGGATGGGAAGGACCTTTTGAAGTTCTCCTGGTCACCCACTCCTCGGCCAAACTGAAGGGGGTCTGACCTTGGATACATCACTCCAGACTCAAGTTTGTGCCCCAGTATGAGACCAATCCTCCTCAGATCAACCAGACCATTCATCCCTGCAACACCAGGAATAGATTGACAGGGAACAGTGAGTCGAGAGGAGCCCACCACCCCAATCTTCGCTGGTCACATCAACCTGGCAAGACAGAATATGATACTGAACCTGTTGATGGACTAAAATCCTGTTTAAAAAGAAGAAAGTTCCTAGCAGCAAAGTAGCCCCAGCATTTATTTACTGATATTTTCTGTGCATTAGACCCAGTGTGCCCTAACGGCACAGACTGTTGTTATCTTAGCAGGACTCTATTTGCTATACAGGTTGTCATTTTTCTGGGCTTGTATGCTTTACTGTGTCCTCCCTGCTGGACTTAACCATTTTCTCTGCTCCAAGTAAAAGCCAGAGTACTTCTCTCCTCTCCTACGCCCAAGAGATGAGGTCCCTAGCCCTTTTATACGTATTTGAGATCATCCTCCCAGCCATAAGTCAATGGGCCGATAATGCTATGATCAAATGGGCCTCCGTCATAGCGCGTGGTGAAAACCTCACCTCGTTAGATATGTTAGCAGAACCCAGGGAGTAACTCTAGCGGGAGTAAACCCTGTGCCACCTTTGTGAACAACTTCGCTGGCATACCCCAACCTCTCCACTTCATCGGTCTACCCCCTTCGTCCCTTTTTTTCTAGCTATGGGCTGCAAATCTTGGCCCAATCATCTCCTAGTACCCCAGCCTTTTGTTTTCCCCTCACTTCCAGTACTTCCTTAACAATTAATTACACCTTAACTCCCAGTGCCTTCAAGGGGCCAGTGCCTCTACCCTCAGACCCAGGCAAGACCTGGAAAGTGTCCTGACTAGTGAGTAAACAGATGACAGCCAGTTTGAAGAACTTCTGTGTCGGCCCATGTCTTCTCCGTGCTCTCATCCATTTTATTGAAAATACGTTAAAGGCTATTGGCCTTTTGGTCCTCCGTACTCCTCCCCAGAGTGAAGGGCACATGCCCCTCCAGCCTCTGCACCAGAAATCTGAAATCCAGACCTGTGCTGAGGCCTTTGTCCAACAGCATCCCCCTTCAGCAGGAAGCAGCCATTCCCACGATTGGCAGTGGCACAAACCACGGGGGAGTTGTTAGGGGACCCTAGAGGTGGAGGACACCTAATTAATTAGTACTCCACCAGTTATCAAGCCACTCCTAGTCACCTCCCCACCACATCACTCACTTTCTCTAAGCTGTTTTGCAGACTCTCTGGAGAGCCATAGACGGGTCCAGAACTAACCAGCTCAGAATGCTCACACATGCGCAGAACAGACAAAGATGATCGACAGATGACACTTGGGCCGCCACGCATGCTCAATAACACAAAAGAACTCATGCCAAGAAATGGGAAGACTCATGTCAAAGAACCCAAATCACCGGACATACATCATATGCAATAGCGGAGCCCATTTCAAAAACGAAGAGTCCGTGGGTCCCTTCCGTGCCAAGTCTTAGTAGCCCCGCCCCATAATAAATAATCAACAGACTATGAATATGTAGAACTTCCTGATTCTGCCCACCTGCCTTCCTCCACCCCTATATGAATATATGTAATTCCCCAAACCTATAAAATGTAAATTCTTCCTCAAATCAAAGAACTCAATATGAGGTCATACCTCTGAGTTTCCGCTTGCTATCCTGCAAAATAAACTGTTTCTTCCTCTCAAAACCAGCAACTGAGAGATTGGCTCCTTGCACTGTGGGCGCGGACCCACTGGTCCCGTTTCATACACACACCTGCACACCAGATCATTGACCCTCACACTGGCACCCTCACCTCCTTCCTCACACGGCATTCTCACCTGGCATTTAAACCTCTCACCCAGGACCCTCACCTCTTACCCCAGCATTCCCACCCCTCATACCAGCACCCCTACACCTCATACCGGCACCCCCACCCATCAAATCTGGACCCCCACACCTCACAGCGACACAATCGCACCTCACACCGGCACCCACACTCCCTCACACCGGCACCCTCAACCCTCACGCCACCACTCAAACCCTTCACCCCAGAACCCTCATCCCTCATTTCGACACTCCTACCCCTCACACCACCACCCCCACACCTCACACAGGCACGCTAAATTCCTCACACTGGCACCCTCACCAGCGGCAACCCCACTCCTCACACATCCTCATCCTCTCAGAACGGCACCCTCACTCACTCCCTCACACACTTCTCACACCAACGCCCCGCCCCGCCTCCCGCAGCCCGCCCCCCGGGGACTCAGCTCACCGCCAGCACCAACCCACAAAGGGTGGGCCGCTGCCGCTACCGCCCGTGTGTTTCCGGGAACTACAACTTCCGGCGTTCCTCGGGCGGCTCGGGACCGGCGGTGGGCGGGGTGTGCCTCGGCGCGACGAGTGGCTTAGGGCAGGCTGCGCGGAGCATGCCGGGAGTTGTAGTCCAGGTGGGCGGGCACGGGGGCGTTTCCTTCACTTGGGGCGCCTCAGCGTTGGCTAGTTGAAGTAACCTCCCGCCGCGCCAGCGAGGTGGGTCGGGGTTGGGGTCCGAGTCGAGTCCGGGGTCAGCGTCTGGGCGGTTGCAGTCACCCCGCTGGCAGGGCAAGACGGACGGGGGGCCGAACGAGTGAGAGGACCACCGCGGCCCCGAAGACCACGAACGCCTGCGGCCAGGTGAGCGAGATGTATGTGTGTGAAAGTCCGGCGACAGAGTGAGGGGCTGACCACAAGCCGCGTGTGGACCGACTGATGGCCTGTGACTGCGGGACAGACGGACTGATGGCTTGTGAGGGCGTCATCCATGGATTAAGCGTGGAACCGACTGACTGAGATGGGGAGTGTAGGACCAGTGGACGAATTGTGTCTGATAGGTTGTGCTTCTGTGTCTGACACATTGTGAGTGTGTGTTTCTGACTGATAGCTTGGGAATGTGAGGTAGACTGATAGATTGAGAATGTGTGATCAACTGACAGGTGGAGTGTCTGGCTGACCTACGGAGTGTGTGTGACTCAGAGATTGTTGTGGTTTAACTGAGATTTTGTAGGTGAGTTGTGTGACATTGTGAGTGAGAGGGTGGGTATGTGGCTGACTGTGTGTGATTCCAAATATGACTGAAATTCTGTGTATCTGACTGACTGAGCTGATGAAAAAGAGATTAAAAGTGACTGTGACAGAATGAGACTCTGACGGAGATGCTGTGAGGGCCTGTGTATATTTGACTAATTATGAGTGACACAGAGAAATTTTGTGTGACCGGCGATGTTTCGTGGCATGACTGACAGACTCTGCCTAAGATAGCATGTGTGCACGTGACAATATGATTGACTGAGTTTTTGTGTGGAGGACTGAAGTTTGAGTGACCTATGAAGTATTTACTGAGTATGTGACAGGTTTGGGCTTTGCTGTGTCTGCAGCTGAAATTGTGTAACTGAGGGTCACCTGGCTGTGCGTACAGGTCCATCTCCCAGCACCTTCTGTGGGCTGGAGTCTGGCAGGGGAATGAATAGTCGAGCCATCAGATTGGACATTTACTGCACATTTGCTGTGCACCAGGCCCATGCTGGATGCTCGTCATGGGTTACTTCAGGTAAGCTTGTGGTAACCCTCTGGGGTCAGTACCATTATCAGCTAATGTACAAGTGGGGAGTCCAAAATGAAAGAACCACCGTGTTCTGTTGGCTTTAGCAGCCTTGGCCTGGGGGCTTCTGCTGTGTGTTAGGAAATAGGCTGACGGAGGCTGAGGCAAGTTCACGTAGATGTGTCTTAGAGATGGCCATCAGGGAATTCCCCAGGACAGAGGCTCCAGGAGTATGAAAGGGAGTGTGGATATCATCACTGTGTTCATTCTTGTCCCTCCAGCCCCTGCCCCCGCTTCCCACACAACATAAAGCAGTTCTTCCTCGTTGGTAGGTGGCCACACTCAGGCTTCCTGGTCCCTCCATTTGTTCGGTGACTGCTTACTGTGCACCTGCTAGGAGCTAGCGCATGGGCACCTTGACTCCAGCATGCCCAGCCTGTCTGGGGAAACAGATGTTTACAGTAGAGAGCCAGGGGAAGACCCAAGGCACTCCAGGAAGGGCACATAGCCTACTCCCAGGCCTCTTGGAGGGCTCCCAGAGACGGTGCCATCTAAGATGTGGCCTAGAGGACCAGGAGGAATTCACAGGATACAAAAATGATTTCAGGACTAGGAAACAGCTGGGAAATCACCTGGAGGGAAGAGGGAGGGTGATGGCAAGAGATGAGGAAGGGGAGGGACTCAAGCAAACTTTACAGTAAAGGGGCTAGAACACAGCTACACCCTCAGGTTATAGTCTGTCACTGAATGATTTTAGGCTTGGGGTCTCATTTGAAGAAAGTTCCCTTCTCCCTGTGCCCAAGGCCATGGCTCCTTCTCCGACTCCTGAACCTCTGTTGAAGGCGACTTCCCTGAGTAGCACCTCAAGCAGAGTGGTGCCGAGGCTGACACAGAATGGAACAAGGAAGAAAAGAACTCAGAGCGCTTATACCTGCAGGGGGTCATTAGTCAGAGAGGAGAGGCCAGGTCCTTGAGGAAGGGGAGTGTGTGGCAAAAGCAAAGAGCTAGAGTCTCTTAGGAGAGGTTATACTTCTTCTTTTTTTTTTTCTTCTTAATTTTAGAAGAAATGAAGGTTCACTGTGAAGAGTAGAAAATATGGAGAAATTGGCATCCTCATCCACTCCTGGTGGGAATGTAAATGGTGCAACCACTGTGGAAAACAGTCTGGCAGTTTCTTAAACAGTTAAATAGAATTACCATATGATCCAGCAATCCTACTCCTAGGTATATACTCAGGAGAAATGAAAACATTTGTCTATGCAAAAATGTGTACCTGAATGTTCATACCAATATTGTTCATAATAGCCCCAAAATGGAAATAATGCAAATGTCCATCAGCTGATGAATGGATAAGCAAATGTTTATCCAATAGAATAACATTCGTCCCTAAAAAGGAATGAAGTAGTGTTGCATGCCACAATATGGATGAA